ACACACACACACACACACACACACACACACACACACACACACACACACATATTACTTTTAATTAGTTTTCACAAATCTCAAAACTACCTAGCAATGGAACTAACTTTCCAGTCAATTCGAGTCACCAGCTCTGTAAGAGACGGTTTTATATTGTTTTCTCTGTTCTCAAACCTGAAATACCCCTTCCAACTCTATTCACTCTCAGCTGATGATGTTGCTTTTCATTTCTCTGAGAATAAAACAGAGGAAAATTTTCGTTCTCTTATTGCCACATCTACCAGCTACCTGCATCATTACCCATTCTGTACCTTTCCTCTCTGTGAGGAAATAGATAGGTGATACAGAGTATCAAGCCTCTTACCTAAATCAAACCCTCCCCTTTTTTTTCCCAGGATCTGTCTCTTCATGGCTACTCAAGGATTTAACACCTACATCATCAAATTTTCTCCCTCTACTAAATTACTCCCTTCAAAATACAGCTTGAAATTTTATCAAATATTTTTTGTAAAAACCCTCCTTTAACCACACAGTTGTATTCTACTACCTCATTTCTCTGCTTTTAGTTACTGTAGATTCTTCAAGAGAGTTGTCTGTGCACTTTTCTCCTTTTTCCTCTCACAGTCTCACTGGAACTCACTCCAACGGTTTTGTTGAAACTATTCCTGTAGAGGTCAGTGACAGCCACCACAATGCCAAATCTCCTGGCCAATTCTCAGTCCATATTTATTTAATACCCCCCAATGCATTTGATAGAGTCCTCCTTAGAATCCAGTTTTCATTTGGCTTTCATGACACATAGTTTCCTGCTTTTCCTCTCACCTCACTGCTTACTCCTTCTTAGTTTCCTGTGCTAAATACTTCTCACTTTCCTAACCTCTGAATGTTGGAAATCAGTGTCAGACTTGGCATGTTCAAAATTAAACTTAGTTTTCTTCTTCTAGATATGCTTTCCAGGCCACAAAACAAGAGTGATACTTTACTCTGTTCATAACCCACATCTAGTCTATTGGCAAATTCTGGCACCTTTACCTACAAAACATGTCAAGGTTTTGTTGTTGTTGCTGCTGAGTTTTTTTTTGTTTGTTTGTTTTTTGAGATAGAGTCTTGCTCTGTCACCCAGGCTGGAGTGCAGTGGCGCAATCTCAGCTCACTGCAACCTCTGCCTCCCAGGTTCAAGCTATTCTTCTCCCTCACCCTCTAATAGCTGGGACTACAGGCACACGCCACCATGCCCAGCTAATTTTTGTATTTTTGGTAGAGACCGGGTTTCACCATGTTGGCCAGGATGGTCTTATCTCTTGACCTCGTGATCCACCCGCCTCGGCCTCCCAAAGTGCTGGAATTACAGGCATGAGCCACCACGCCTGGCCAAAACTCCACTCCCTTCTTAATATCACCATTCTTACCTTCATCCAAGCAGCTGTTATGCTATGAATTCTTGCACTAAATAGCCTCCTGATTGGAATCCCTGCCCTCCTCTTTGCCTTTTTATGGTTTTTCTTCAACAGAGCACTCAGAGTGATGCTTTCAAGACTTAAGTCATATTACATCACTCTTCTGCTCCAAATCTCCAGTGACTTCCCATCTTGTTTAGAATAAAAGCCAAAGTCCTAAACGTGGTTTACGAGATCTCTGTTTAATATGGTCCCTGCTTCCTCTCTGCGTCAGCAATCTTCCCTTTGTTCACTTTGCTCATGGCACACTGATTTTGTTCTTCCTGAACATGCCAAGTTTACTTCCACCTCAAGGCCTTTGCATTTGTTCCTCATGCCTGAAAAACTTCCTGGGTTTTCTTAAATGTTGCCAACTTACTTCATTCAGTTGTATTCTCAAAGTTCACCTCCCAAAAAGTCTTTCCCTGACCACTCCACCTAAAGCAGTACCTTCCCCAGTGCCCTAGCCAGCCTACCGTTGGCCACTCTGATTTTTCTTTTTTGTATAATATATTACCATTATTAATGATTTGCCTATTGCCTGCTCTCTAGAACAAATGAGAGCAGGGACTCTTGATCACAACAAAGTGTTAGTATTCAGCAGGTGCTGCACAAGCATTTGTTAATTGGATGAATGAATGATTGTGGATGTATACATGCAATAGACTATCATATAGGCTTTGACAGGAAAATAATAATTCAAACTTTCTGTTTTACACTTAAACAGGTGGCCTTGTTTTAGCAATAAGAAATGTATGTGTTGGAAACAAATATCACATTGCCTTTATTGTTTAATCTTCAAGATCCAATTTTCCAGATGGTATAGTTTGCTTAGGCTTTGCTGGTTTTTGAGCTGGCAGAAATTTGTGAGTTCTCACTTTTTGCCAGCATTGTGTACCATCAAGACACTTAACTTTTCTTCTTTGGCTCATCAGCTAAAGAAAGGGGAAGAAGAAGAAGTTAAGAGTGTACGATTCCTAACATCTTCTAGTTAAAAATAATTTCTCTTTAAGGTGGATCTTTAAAAGTCTAATGGGGCCAGGCATGATGGCTCATGCCTCTAATCCCAGCACTTTGGGAGGCCAAGACAGGAGGATTACTTGGGCCTGGGAGTTTGAGACCAGCTAGGAAACATATCAAGACCCTGTCTCTAAAAAAATAAAAATAACTTTTAAAAAAATTAGCCAGGCCTATAATCCCAGCCACTCAGGAGGCTGAGTTGGGAGGATTGCTCAAACCCAGGAGATGGAGACTGCAGTAAGCTATGATTATAGTACTGCACTCTAGCCTGGGGGACAGAGTGAGATCTTGTTTCTTAATAGAAAAAGTCACATTAGATGATTTCTAAGTAGTATAATGTTCCAAATGTTTCAATCATAAGATCACTACTACCTCAAAACACTAGCTGATTCTACTGTTTTGTGATTTGCTGGATAGCTAATTTTATTTATAGCTACTTTGACTTGAGCTTATTTTGGCAAACATCTTTTTTAGGGCAAATCTCCTATAGATATTTTACTAACATCTTAATCTACCTTTGGAAGCATTATTTATAGATAGGTTGCATCCTAAGAATTTTCATTATTATACAGAAACCTAGATTCTAAAATCAAGATTTCACATATCAGCAAATAGCACTTCAGTTTTTTAATTTATACAATATTTTTAACTACATCTTTTTTCTGAAGCATCTATTCTCATGACACTTACATTTTTATACTTTTAAGGTTAAAACCACTATAATGTCCTTAATTAAGTTTGTTAAGATGTTTCCATTTAACTCTTACAAAGGTGACAATTTTTATTAAACTGAAATGACTGGAAATCTGTTGTGCTAGAGGGAGGTAGGGGACAACACACTGTTTGGAAAAGCTAATTAGAAAATTAGATGAGGCTTAGAAATCAGGAGTGAATTTAACTCCAGGGACTATGGCTTTATATTGAAACTTTAGTTGCTTCAAAATAGGGCAGATGATTCTTCCTCTCCCAACTTGGATATCCCTCCTGGAGAAACCAGAGTTATTGCTAAAATTTTTGTTTATATGTGAACTGCAACTTCTGTGAGAGAAGACAGCTCTGGGCTCCTGTGTAACATTCAGTTCTAAGTTTAATAACTTTGATTTACTAAAGAAATTAATAATCTGGGATGAGTAGAGATAAATGCTATTTCTGCATGATCCAGATCAATTATGTTACTTTGTTAGATGTCACTATGTAGAGATTTTTGGATAGAAGGAGGTAATGACTTTCAGACTTTAAAATTAAGGTCCTCTTTATATTGCCTTAGTGGTTCACTTTCATAGTTTAACTATTTATCTTTTTCTTTTTATTCCTTTTCCATATCTCTTTTGTATTTCACCTGACACCAAAAATGGCCTTTCAGAAACACAAAGTAGATCTTTTCTACAAACTACGCCATGTGATGAATGAACTTATTGACCTGCGAAGGCAGCTACTGTCTGGTCACCTGACCCAGGATCAGGTGCGGGAGGTTAAGCGGCATATCACCGTGCGCCTGGACTGGGGTAATGAGTAAGTATGAAAACTGTTTGGGTACCTCTCAGTTTCAGTTATGAAAACTCAGTCCTCAGGGAGTTCACACCTATATAAAGCTTCTCTTTAATGATTCAAAGACAATATTATACTCTTCACTAAGCTTTCATCATTTTTGCTAGGAACAGTTATTTGTCCTAGTTAGCAAAGGATACTCACTGGTTCTAGTTGCTGAACCTCTTTCAGCCTCTGTTTTTGCTCCTGGAAAGAAGAGGTAAATAATAGGACTAGATTATCCGATGAAGTTAAATTTCTTTGACCTCAGATTTCTTGATTATACACCTACTAATCACAATATACTTAAAAAATATCTTTGTGCTTTCTTCAGATGTGAATTTGTTGTCCTTTACATTTTATAGCCATACAGTGAATCTGAATGAGCATAACCTACAAATGGAAACTGGCTACATTTATACTTCAGAATATTTTTAACTACCTTATTATTCAGTAATAGTCTTACATTTATGTGGTGACTATGATTTGCTATTGCCATACAAGTACAATTTGAAGACTTTGGTATGGGAAGTTACTGTAGATAGTATTTGAATTTCTTTCTTCCTCAATTTAATAATTGATGTAATTGATATATTATATAAATGATATAATAATTGATATAATTTTATAATTGATATAAATTTCAGGTGCTTTTGTCTCATTCTTTTAAAATTGGGTCCATTGAACTTTTAAGTAACCAGGTTGCCTCCTACTTAAAATATACAAATAGCTTAAGTATATTTAAGTATGTGTCTTTAGCTCCTTTTCCTTTTAACACATTAGTGAAATGATAGAAATCAAAAAGAATGGGAGAGGCCCACCAATAAATGAGACCTATGTGCCCATTTCTGGAAGCCGGAAAGGAGGTGAAAGATTTATGACAGAGGAAGCCTAGTATATGTGGAAGAAACCTTAGTTAACGAGACAGTCAGTCTGCCCCACAGCTCCCAGAATCATGGAAGGTGGGATAGGCCTTGAAGCTTTAAAAATGACTTGGTTTAAAAGAGTGACTAAGGAACTGCCTACCCCAGTCAATGAGGAGAAAGCCTGGTGAGGTATTTCTTCTTTAGATAAACAAATACAAAAACCAGCCATCTGGGGGAAAACTGGGCAATAGGAGTGTGAACTGGGACTTTCTTGCAAAACCCTCCACATTCTGGCATTTAAGGACTTTAAAATATAATGAGCAGATTGCTGCCACTTACCAGAAAGAGGGGAACTTGCCAGTCACCTACCCATGTACAAAAAAAATTCTACATTTCTTCTGCTATCTTTTAAGTTTGAATGGACAATCAAGTATCACCAGATGTTTGAAGAAACCCTTCTACAGGAAAGAGAGAGATCAAGATGAACAAAACACCTGGACCCAAAGAAAGTAACCTGTCCTTAGAGCAAATTGAGATCGATAAAGTACTTGGAAACAAAAACACTTTAATATCCTCAAATAGAATCTAGAAGACCCATTATGTAGAATAAGATGCCATATAAAAAGAAATGGAGAATGTAACTTCCAAAATAAAATACTCAGAGAAGATAAATTTTATGTAATCTCTAAGAAAATAAATATATAGGAAATACTTGAGGAAAGAAGTTCAATACAAACGCTCTACCCAGGGAGGTCTGATATTAAACATTATGCCTTCCAGAAAAAGAACAGAGGAAATTCTAAAGGAATGATAGAGAATTTATCAGAGCCAAAGAATAGGAATCTTAAGGGGAGGAAGGCAGCAAATCACACTGCCATGTTATATCTATGCAACAATCTTGCATGTTCTTCACATGTACCCCAAAATGCAATTTAAAAAAAAAGATTGAAAGAGCCCCATCAAATACTTACAATGAATGGGAAAACAAAACAAACAAACAGCCTCACAGCAAGGCACATTAAGATATTTTAATATTCTAGTAATGAAGAGAAGACCATTTAACGATTTTAGACAGAAAAACAGTTCCTCTCACAAAAGAGTGAGAGTCATACTATCCTCAAAAGTTTTATCATTAACACTGGGTACTAGAAGATAACGAAATAATTTCTTCAAGAGTTCTGTGGGGAAATGATTTACCAGCCAGAGTTTTATTAAAAAAAAAAAAAAAAAAAAAACCTAGCCATCTAATTAAGTGAGAGGGCAAATAAAACCATAAGCCATTTTTAGGTATTCAGGGATGTGCAAAAGTTACCTCTCATGACCCCTTTATTAAAAAAGGACTTGAGGATGTGCTCCTGCAAAGTAGAAGAATAAATCAGAAAGAGACAACAAGAAATCTAATAAACAGTGAATCAAACCCAAAGTGGCATTGTTCATCAGTAGAAAAGAGAAAATATAACCCTAAATTGGTTATTTGTGACCTTTTTAAAGCCACAACATCCTATCCTTGTTTGTTTTGTTTAACTGTATCTCTCATGACTGTTAGTAGGCCTGCTTGGAACATACCACAGGCTACCTTCTATAATGGTGTGTAGCATGAATTTAGGCATACCATAGATCAGTGTTCTCTAAATCTAACTTTGGGCAGTAAAAACTTAGTAAAATATAGTCTGTTAATGTACAGTATAGCTACTGATTCTAACTCTTTAAACCCAAACATGTTAATTTATAAACTGGTATCACTGTTTTTATTTTTGAGTCAATGATAAAAATACAGTAATTGCAAATATAACATTATTGTGTGCCAAGTAAATTGGTCACACTTGAACTGAGGACACTAATAAATGTGTGATTCATTATGTTGCAGTTTAAGCACAACTATATAGATTCTAGTAAATAGAATTATTTCTGAACTATCAGTACTTAAACCTCTTTATTATATAACTTGAAAAACAAATGAATCTGATATTACAATCAAATCTGAAAATATATAAATGATAGCTTAGAAACAAGTTCAAATTGTACTTGAAAAAGGCTCAGAGCATTATAAATAACTGTCAGTAATTTACAGAGCTATTCCAACTACATTACTAACTTTTTCTCATTGAAGTGTATGTGTGTGTGTGTGTGTGTGTGTGTGTTGGAGGGGTATGTATATGCTTATTTTAATAAACAAAAGTAAGAAACACAGTTCTACTCCCCTCCCCACTTCTCTTCTCCCTCTTTCCTGTTTCTTTTTTTCTCCTTTCTTTTTTCTATTTAAAAAAACTGTTTTCTATTTCTCCTTTTTTTCTTCTTTCTTTTCCTTTTTTCTCCTTTCTTCCTCCCCTTGCACTTTTTTCCCTCCACCCTTCTCTTCCTTTTTTGCCCTTGCACTTTTTTCCCTCCACCCTTCTCTTCCTTTTTTTTTTTTCCTCCTTTCCTTCAGGGGAAAATATAGTCACTTAAAAACATAAATAAGAACTTTGCAGGTCTGTCATTCTTAAAAGGAAAAGACATATTGCACCAAAACTGATAGGACTGTTCTGTCTGGTTCCTCCTTGAGCTCACTCTTAACATTAACATTTTTCTGCCTATTTTTGAAAGAAAAGATGGTATATTGTAAAAACAAAGTTATTTCATAGCATTAGGTTATGTAAAACAGGCTGTTCCACACAAAAGATAGGAACAGATGACCATATCCATTGTTCCCATTTTATTCTGATAGTTCCACACTTTTTGTTCCACCACATTTTTATAAATGCCATAAAATATTGAAGTTTAGCACATGTTAATATGTGGTAGATTCACAATCAGTGTTTGCTAAATGTACTTTAATGTTTTAATTGATGTAATTAAATATATGATTTTAAATTCTTACGCCTTTTCTGTAAGCTCTTACACAAACATTATAGCTCTGCCTTTTCAGAATCTATTGTAGCAACTAGTATAGTTATTAATAGTGTATCAATTACATATGTCTGCATCACTGTGGCAAGTACATGGACTCACTTCATGCACTGTTATAATGAAATGCTGCTATGCCTTTCCAGGTTAAGAGCTCTGTTTACCCAGTGAGGAAACCAAGGCTCAAAGACACTTTTCCCAGTGTTGTATGGTGGGTGGATAGAGCTGGCATTTGTACCTAGAACTGATCCCAAAGCCCATGTACTTTATGCAGAACCTTACCATCTCTCTAATTATTTGTGAGTCTTAAAACCAGGCACATTATTACCAGTATTTCTAGTCATTGGGCTATTTGATCTTTGTTCTGTTCTGCAAGTGTGAATACTGTTATATACTGTGATGTATATCTGAGTAACATTCAGTTAGAGCTTGAAAGGACAGAAACTGAACTGGTCCTGTAATCTTTCATTTAGAGTTTTAATTTAGTGAGGAACTCTCCACATCTACATAACCATATTTATTTTGTTTCCTGAGATTAGGAATTATTATTTGGCCTAACATTTAAATATTCAGATATTAAACTTATGTGACTTAAATTTACTGGCCTATATGTAGACACTCCCTAAGCTAAAATTATTAAACTGTATCAGATAGAAACCAGCACTTACTACATTGTGTTCTTATACTTTCAAGAACTGCAACACAGGAAGGCATAAAGTTGTATCCAAATTAGTCATCATCTATGCTCAAGTGTCTTACATAGAGAATAAGTCAGTTAATTATATCTACCCCAAATAAATTTTAAAATAATTTGTCTAGTGATGTAATTTTAATTTAACTTAATAGTTTCAACATCTTCTCTAAAGATGCTGTTTCTTCTGTCTCTGATTTCATCACTACAGTAGCTAAGTTAAAATTGCATTAACCCAGAACTCACGTAGCCTAATTGATCTCTGCCTTAGAAAAATACCTAAGAAATATTTTATTCTTAGAATAATAAGTTAACATAAATCACTTTTATATCATTATGGTTCTTTTATTTTCTTCTCTCCCTCTGTCATTTTTTCTTCCTCCTCCCCTTTTCTGCTTTATCACCTTGTTACATATTTTAACCCATCTATATCTCTTTCTTCCTACTTAGTATATGTCTCTCATTAAGGGAATTGCTTCTGGAGTAAGATACACAAGCAGTAGGTTAGTTTGTTATATGCAGAAAATATCCCCCAATGAATT